TGCATTGTCATGATGCAAGCGCCATGAATTGTTGGCGAAAAGTTCAGGTCGTCTAGCTTTTTCATGCGGCCTTTTCAGCCCTTTGAAATAGTAAACTTGGTTAATTGCTTCTCCAGTTGGTACAAATTCATAATGAATAATCCCTCTGATATAAAAAAGGTTAGCAACATTGTTGCAATGAGTTTGCAAACTTAATTGTCAGATCTTGTATATCTACTTTACCTCTTCTCTTTCCCATGTGACAGCTATCTTTGGTGATTCAGGTGAAGATGGTTGCTCTTCAACATTCAGACTCCTCACTGTGTCCAGCCTTTTCCCTTCCAACTTCTCTGCAGCTCTTCCGTAGTCATTTCCCCATATACCCTCCTGGCTATATCACCTTTACCATCATTCATTGTTCCTGTGAGGCAAGTCTGGGCCACTGCTGAAGGGAAGACCAAGGAGGATGTGGTAAGATATGCAAGAAACAGTCCCCAAACATGCCAGTACCAGAGAAGCCACATGCTGAGCACTTCACCCATAACTAGTTTATCAACTCAGCAAATGCTTACCGTGACTGTTACTGGCCAGGCATGGGGGCTGGCCTTACAGAGATAATAAGGGACAAAGCACAAGGTCCATGCCTTCATGGAGACCACAGCCCAGGAGCAAGGACAGAACAAAAGAGAAAAAAGAGTCAAGGAAATAAAAGAATTACAAGTGCTGTGAAGGAAACACAAAATGTGCAAAGAGTAATGGGGCCACCTGCTCAAGGGATGATGGTCAGCTAATGCTGCTCTGCAGAAGTGACTTTGAAGATGTGCCTGAGACAGCCAGGAGAAGTGTGCACATATTTACTCTTTGCTGAATGTTTTAAGAGCACAATGTCAGATATCCCCCATGCTAACCTTGTGAGATATCATTATCCAATTTCAGAGGTGAGGAAACCAGTTCAAGGAGGCAAAGTAACCCAACGTCACAGCAAGTTAGTGGTAGGGCTGGAAGCTTAGACGTTGCAACTCAGCTTATGNGGGGAACAGACAAGTTGCTGTCCTTTTGTTCTTCAGTCTAGTTGTGGAGGACGTCACTTCACTGGCCCATGTTGGTATTATCATTGTGCTTTTCCTGGGTGAGTCAGATTGGCCACCGTCCTCTGGATGGCCGCTCACGGTGGCTCTTGGCACACACCGGCTGCCAGCCACTCACACTGGCTGCTGGCCACACATGGTAGCTTATGGCAGCCCACTGCAGCAGGGGGTGCAGCCTTCACCGTGGCTGGTGACTCATGGGCAGCCCAGTTCCAGGTCGAGCTGTTGTTCACCATCTTAGCTGTAGAGGGCAGTGTCACTGGCCCCCATGTGGGATCTGAACCGGGGCCCTGATGCTCAGAGCTGGCATCCCAAGCCAGTTCTTAACCAGTGCACCACTCAGCTGGCCCCAAAGTCACACATTTTTTACAATACTCTACAAGAGATGTGCATGTTTCTTATTGCATCACACCTGGAGGGACATCATATCAGGTTGTCCTACTCTATGTGATTCTAAATTTGGTCATTTGGTTAAGACAGTGACTTCCAGATCTCTTCATTGTAATATAGTTTTACCTTTGTAGTTAACTAAGAAATCTGTAGTGAGACTTGGAAGTTGGGTGAATATCCTGTTCCCCAACCGCCTTTCACCTAAGGGCTTTAGTGTTCATTGATGATTTTTGTCAGATTCAGTTAATTCACTGAGGGTTACAAAGTGGCAATTTTAAAACCTCACATTGATTTTCTGGCATTGTTTTGTAAAGAAGAGTTTACCCGTTTTTTCCCCATTCTCTTTCTGTCTCAACACAATGATCATTTGATTAAAAAAAATTAGGGGGCAGCTGGGTGGCTCAGTTGGTTAGAGTACGTGCTCTTAACAAGAAGGTTGCTGGTTCGACTCCCATGTGGGATGGTGGGCTGCACCCTCCCGCAACTAGATTGAAAGTGGTGACTGGACTTGGAGCTGAGCTTGCGCCCTCCACTACTACTAAGATTGAAGGACAACAACTTGACTTGGAGCTGATGCATCCTGGGAAAAACACACTGTTCCCCAATAAAGTTAAAAAAAAAATTAAATGCTATAAACTCAAATTTTCAAATTGTTATAATGTTCAAATTGTCCCAAGTTTGACTAGTAGGAGCTTAAGAAGCAAACTTTTCTAACCAGACACATTGTTGCACCAAAGGAAATTCTATTGTAAGGGATTCTGTTGTAAGGAAGGAGAAAATGCTTATTGGGCATCAACTAGTGAGCCTGTCACACTTTATCTCCCCAAAGCCTCAGTTTCCTGGGCCTTAGAATGGAGTAATAGCTCTCTCAGTATGATTTCCAGGACTCAATGAATGGGTCATGAATGAAAAGCAGTGTGCCTGTGTCATAGAGCCTGTCACAAAGGTGCTAAAACATATGAATTTTCCTTCTCTTCCTTCCCTATGNGGGGGGTGCAATGCTGTAACTTTGAATTTGAGCTGTGGGGTGGAAGGAATCTTGGGTGGGGCTGGGATCTGGGGGGAGCTCCTTCCAGGCTGATGCTGGGATGGTTTCCCCATCAGGGCTTGGAGCCTGGGCTAGCAGGGCAACAAGCCTACTTAGTCAGCAGTTCCTCTTTCCCTCCCCTACGCCCACACCCACACCCACACCCCTCTCGTGGGCTGAACAATCAGGCTGCCTTCATCCCAGCTCCAAAGTCCCACACTCAAGGGCCAAGCGGGCCATGTCTGGGTGGGTGAGGGACAAGACCAGTTGGGGTCCTAGAAAGGGCTTCATTTTCTGAGTTGTCTGGACCAGGGTTCAAATCCTGTCTTTGCCAGCTTCCAGCTGTATGTCCTCAGGCAAGTCACATCCCCCATCTGAACCTCGGTTTCCTCATCTGAAAATGGAGATAAAACTTGGCATGTTTCTTGGGATGACAAATAATGACTACTGATGGAGTGCTTCATCTTTGCCAAGTATTGTCCTAGGCCCATTATGTGCATTAACTCATGCAGTCCCACATCAACTCTATAGGTAAGTGCTGTTCTTATTCCTGTTTTACAGATGGGGAAACTGAGGTACAGAGAGATGAAGTAACTTGTTGGAGATTACACAGAGGGCACAGCTGGGATTGAAATGCAAGTCATTTGGCCCTAGATTCTTTAATCTTAGTCATTCATTTTCTTGCCTCTCTAAAC